TGTACGAGAGCAAACAAGACTTCTATGGCCACAGCCCTCCCTGACCCCACTTCTCTTCAAACAGGACACGTGTGTACAGGGACTTCCTCGTCCGCTGCCCGAAAGAGAATTAAGAAGTGTGGAACTGCTGAGGGTGAGAAAGCTCACTCGTGGTTTAGGAAACACCTTTTTTGGATATTGCTTTTAATCTAAGCTTGTTGCAACGACTGAAACATGAGCAAAAGCCTCAGTTTGAGAAATCAGAGAGTACTTTTTGCTAATTTAGACTTCACATTACATCCGTAGTATAGGATTCATAGATCGGTAACCTTTAAGCTTTAGTCTCTATCTTTGCCCTGCCTTTTAACAGCCATATTCCTACCTGCTCCTAGCCAGCAAAATGCCACGGTCCTGCACAGCCAACGGAAATTCTGTAGGCCTTCACCTTACAGAGTCGAGCTCTCTCAGACACCGTTACCTGTATCAGTAAATGGAAAAACAGCAGACAAAGTCAAATGCAGAGGAGTTGTTCTTGCAGCTACGCTGCAAAACACCTGCAGCTGTATCAGATAAGCATCACAAGTGCATGCACGTATCTAGGAATTATATACACACACAGTCTTACAAAAGTGAGCTGCTATCCCATGCAGATCACAACCCCGAATGACTGATTCTCGCTGGAAAGGGCAGACAACACAGGTGGAAAGGCAGAAATAGTGATCGGAGCAAGACGTGATCATCTGCTGCATCTCTGCGACGCCCAGCGCTGGCACCAAGACTCAAACAGGTTCTGGGTTTGAAACAGAGCCACTGGGTACTCGATCACCTGAAGCCCGATCTTGCACTGCAAAAGGCAAATCTATTCCTACACATTTACAGAATTGCAGTCTTGAAATCTTGTCTTTGCTCCTGTAGCAGAGACAGCCAATGCCAAGAGACGCCTTTTACAAACTCAGCTTAACGACTGAGCGTATCCTGTCTTTTTTCCTCATTAACAGCAAACCTTTATACTAAATGGGAAACAGTAAATAGGCCTCTCAACAATGGAAAACAATGAGCATAGGCTTTTAAAATGGACAAATCAACAGAACAGAGAAGAATACTTGTTAAAAATTGTAAAAGGAACAGCACGGCCTTAAATTCACACTGTGCTGCAGTAAAGAGCCACTCCAGGGAGGTGTTTTGCCCACTAAGGAGAGTAACAGAATTCCTTCCAGACGAGACAAACTCAGGTCAAATGCTCTGTCCACAGCAATTGGGGGTTTGTTGCTTGGTTTGGTTTACTGAAACAATTCTCTGCCAACTCCTGCTATTAGGCAGGATCCAATTCAGACGAAGGATCAACTCCAAACTGCTGTCGTAAGCAAGTGGGGAGCAGGTTTGGTTTTGCTTGTTTGTTTTTAAACAAGACACTCCAAGGAGCGTTTTCACTCATTAGCATGACAAAAAAGAGAGGTCTTCTGGTGGCTACTTGCAATGTGCAACCATGCTCAGAAATGTTTCCATCTGATGCCACTTCCTTGGAACATTTACCTGCCTTTGGCCAGCCATGCCAACCCACAGCTGTCTGAGGTTATCCTCAGAAAAAGCCCTTTTCCGAATTTCTTGCAGTGACAGACCTCACTGTCTCAAACCTTCCTGTTCTCTTCCGCTGCTGCAGCAGCAGGGTGCTGGAAAATCAACGGGTCCTGGATTCAGTGTGCAATACACACAGCACTGCTGTGCAATTAAAGAAGAACTCGAGTTTGTTCTCATCAGCACCTCAATGGCTAATCCTTCATAAAAGGAAAAACTACTCTTAGATCCATTTCCTAAAGTAGGGAGAATCGGTGAAAGATGTGGCCTTTGGAAGACTACAATAATGCTTCCATTCCAGCATCATCGTATCTGAAAGAAGATTAAATTGGTGCTTAAACTGACTGGTTGTTTGTCACCATAATTTGCTATGCCATACCTAAAACTACTTCGAGCTTGAAAACTCCGGAGGGCCACAACTAAAAGTTTGCTCCTTATCGCCCAAGCACCCTTCCAGACACCAAAACCAGCGGAGTAAATGCAGGCGATACACAGAGCAGGGGAGTAAAACGCAGAGAAACGTCCTGAGTTTCTGCCCAAGGAGAACAGCACATTTCAGTCCAGAGCTCTCTGCAGATTGAACACACAAAGGTTTCAGTTTGGCAGCCTGTTTTCTAGCTGGAGCTATTCCCTGGTCCATGCTATCCCCTCGCTCTTTCCTCAGCATCTGCTCCTGATCGCTGCCAGAAACAAGACCTGGAGCTACACAGAGCTTTGGTCTGTCCCGTATCAACGGCCTCCTTTTTCCTGAAGGATTACACACCGATTGGTTTTGCACTGGTTTAGCAAGGACAGTGAAAACATTTCCCTAAGATGGTTTAATTAACCTTATTTTAGGTTAACCTCTCCTTTCCAATTAAAAATTAAAAAAAAAATCTTATTTTTTGCCGTATTTCTCAATGTGTGCCAGCTCCATCTCCATTTCTCTGTTTTGTGTTTCTAGGCCTTCCCAGTCTCTGTTAAGTACCTGCACACATTGCTGCTACACTGGTACTCCAGGTAAACACGTTCATTACCACAGTATAATGGTATCTCCATTACTTTTAATCCTTTCTAGATATACTCACAAGTCCTGCTTGTCTCTGAACTGCTGCCGTGCAGTTCTCAAGAACTGGAAACTATTGGCAACCTCTCAGAAACACACTTCAGAACTTGGAAGTTTAATCGCATCATTGCTTTTTACTGGAATTAATCCCAGTGCCAGAAGTGGACCACGAGGCCCAGCTGCTTCACCTACTGCCCGTCCTGGCACGGTGTTAACGCTTCCTTCTCTCTAAGGGCCCCAAGGTAGTGGTAGATGAGCATTTTCTCCAATCTACCAAAGGAAAAAGATACCGATCAACACTGAAACTCTTAACAGGAAGACTGATTTGCTTAAGCTTCTTTTAAAAGATTAGTAGCTCTTGGTTCTTTGCCTTTTTTGAGTGATTTTAACAGTTTGTGACACGCCATCTGCTTCCACAGCCTAGTTAGTCAACAAGGCCCGTGCATGAAGGGACGTGGAGCAGCCATCCAAGCGCTGAAAGGAAACCTGATTTTGCTCGGAGTGAAAAACACAACCTTGGCAGAAAATTGAACACTTAAAAGCAAAAGTGTCAACACCGAAAAAAGTGCAGCCCTTAACATTCCTCCTGCTTGTTTTGTCAAAGCAGTAACTGTTTCGAGAGAAAGGATTATATCCAAACGCACGTGTGTCAAAGCAAGCACGGTACAGCAAACAGCCTCCCAGATGTCAGAGCATGAAACAATCACAGCTGCACAAAACCACAGGGCAGGAAAAGACTGCCAGACTGCAGCTGGAGTTACAGCCACTGCCCACAGCCAACCTGGAATTTATCGAGCAGCTTGAAGGGTCAAGACTTTTAAAAACCCAGCCAGTCGGGAACGCTCTGCAGTTCACGGACAGCGGCCCCGCTAGGATCCCTGCTCGGGAACGTGCAAGTGAGCGGCTCCTTCAGTACTGCACCTCTGCACACGCGACCTGACCCAGTGCCGGCACCCAGGACACTGGGGATCAGCGAGCCAGGGCACAGAGCTGGGACAGAGCTGCTGTGCAGCACAGAGACACGATCCGATTCTTCACATCTTTACAAAAGAACGATAAAAGTGGGCTATGAAGATGTACAGAACAATCCTGTGCAAATCCAACACCTATGTCACCTGGACCACTTCACTACTTAACTGTCTTTCACCAGCAGGCTTTTGGTGGCTGAATTTTCTGGGCTATCGGCAGTTCTGAGGGCAGAGTCAGCCTTTCAGCAAGGCTCACAGCAGGACAAGCCAGCAGGCAGTGCTGTCCAGCCACTGCTGTGGAAAGAAGTGACAAGCTTCTCCTGCACGTACCTACAGTCTGACAGGAAGTATTTGGGAAACCAGGACCTCACCATACACGCTCCTGACGACGGCAATTTCATGGAACAAATGAAGAAAGAAAGAAACGTACGTGTTGAGAGGTAAAAGCCATTCACAGAGGGATCGCTGCTGGAGATGGGAGTCCATTCCTCCCATCTCTGAGGTGTGCACAGCCCAGCGCACGAGAAGCTCTAGGTTCATTTTCACTAAACAAACTTGCTCCCATTTATGTAAAGTCAAACCCAGCAGTTTTCATTTCAAATTGCACTTGTGAAGCCCAGACTATTTTCCATTAAGTTAATCAAAGGCAGACTATTTTGTTTTCCAAGATGAGACAACCCTCAAGGCCTGTGGCTACTCCAATCCCACAGGATGTTTTTATATCCACTGCTGCACTCCTAATGGCATACAAGAAACCACCTCAGGCTCCCTATTGAAAAAACAAACAAGCAAGCAAACAAAACTTCCACTCAAGAGGAAGAAGAGTGTCTTGCTCATCCCACTTTTCCATTTTCGTGAAGCAGAGGCTAAAAGTGCACACCACAAGTCCCACAAAACTTGTTGTCTGCCTGAATAAATGTTCAGAAAGAAAGGCAGGAAAGTGTAACAGGAAGGAGAACTTGCTGAGAAAGGAAACATCTAGAAATCACCAGTGTCACAGTAACTGGATACACTTAGCTCAGAGCAAAGCATCATTTTCTTGCTCTGGTCCGGAAGCCTTTATATCCACAAGTCCTGTTATCACGATTCCTGACAAGCACAAAAAGAAAGGTCTGACTGACCTGAAAGAGAACTTACTTCCACTGCAGGTGACACTGTCCTATTATGTACCTCAGATATCATTATAAATAGAATAGAAATCTTATTTGTTAAGAAAAAAAAAAAAATCCAAGTTGAAACAAATCTTTCCATCCACCCACCACTCCGGCTTGGTCAGAACTGGCAAAGTGAGGTGGACCATGTGGCGTGAGGAAACGGCAGCACTGAAACCGAGACCTGATGGTCCAGGTAAGAAAAGTGCAAGCAAACAAAGTGAGACCACCAAGAGGGAGGTGGGGTCCAGCCTTGCTTCTCCCTCCAGTTCTGGTCTGCTGCTATATTTCTGCATCTTCATCCGAGCTTGCACTGCTGCTGCCACTGCTGCTGCTCCCACTCTCGCTGCTCTCTTCCTGCCGGGCCTGGCTGTGGGCTGCTGCTGCCGCCTCCGCTGCTGCCACCGCTGCTGCTGCCTCCTTCTCCTGCTGCCTCAGTGCAGCCGCCTTCTTTTCCTGCTCCGCGTGGCTCTTCATGTGAGCACTGCGGCTCTTCACCTTGTAGAACACCCTGAGGAAACACACAGGCACGTTAGCACTGGTCTCTCCCGCAGACTCCTTCGTTAACTCTCCAAAAGAGCTTCTGCTGCTCCAGTCCCGAGTTTCAGCACGGCAGCTCACGGTGGCATTGCAACCTACAGCAAATGCCCCTTCTGCCTGCTGTGTGCCAGCACGAGGTGCAATGCCAGAACAAGATCCTGAGCACCTCAAACCACTTGCTTCATGTCTTAATACAGCCATTTCCTCTAATCCCTTATTCAGCTCTCACATTTTCTAAATGCAGAGGAGTGGCGCTGATATCTGAAACACACACACGCCGCTTAACGCAACAGGGGCCTGGTTTTCGGGCATTCTCATTATGCTGCAAAAATGCAATAAATGTGGAGGTGAACAAGGAGGGATTTCACACCAACTGCCAGAAGAAAAGTTTAGGCACCATTGAGAATCCTCGCCTGCTTCTCCTTTGTCAGTGGCCAGGACCAAATCCCAGCCGCCTGAGGTCTCCCAGCACTGCTCTTTCCAGTGCCACGTGCTCCCCGAGGACACAGAGCCAGGGTGCCCTGGCAGGGCCAGCTACGTTTTTTTTAGGAATCTGTCACCACCCCTGGTGCTGTCACTAGACAAGAGTTTTCTTGCCATCTCCTAGCTTGGTGCCTTTTTTAAATAAAGGGATAACTACTGGAACTACGAGAATTACTGCTAAGAGTAAGCAGTTTATGTAGGAAACCGGAAAAAACGCTAATCTGTGAATATTAGTGGGGTAATAAGTCATTAAAAGTATTGCCAGTGTTAATAAAGGGATAACTACTGGAACTACGAGAATCACTGCTGTTTTAAGAGTAAGCAGTTTATGTAGGGAACTGGAAAAAACTCTAATCTGTGAATATTAGTGGGGTAATAAGCCATTAAAAGCATTGCCAGTGTCCTGGCTTAAACAGACAGCAGGAAAGCTCATTTGAGAACAAGCTTCCACAGGAGATGCCCTCCTGCAATGCTGTGACTATTGCTGGAGGCAGAGTTGCTCTTACCTGCCACATTTTTTACATGGAAACGTGTTCTCCGTGTTCTGTGTTTTACTGGTAGCGTCTGATTTTATCTTTTGCTTCCTCCTCCTCCTCGGCACTGGAGCAGTAATGGGCTTCCGAGGCTTCACCGTTGTCTCCCTTGGCTTCCTCCCAATTCTGCCTGCAACAGTTGCCTCTTGACTCATTTCGGCATCACCGGCCTTTGGGGAGAGGGGAACAGTTAAGGCAAACTGAAACCTAAACCCACCAGAGGAAGGAAAACAACGATGAGCTCCTGCACTTCATTTACTCCAGATCAAGGTTTTACTTAACGAGAAAATCTTCAGGGTATTTTTGGGACATTTCTCATCATGGTCCCATGTGTGCACCAGCCACAAAGAATTATACTGGGTTTTTCACTCATCTAAGTTCTCCCACCCAGAACTTTATTTTCTGAACTAGTTGCAGAGCGAAGGTGGCATCAGAAAGCACAAGCAGCACAATGCAGCACTTACTATCACACCATCTTGTAGTGTCTGTTCATCTTTGAAAGTAACTGTGCTCTTCTTTCTGTTATCCAACCCTTCCTCTGCCTCCTCCTCTTCCTCTTCTTCCTCCTCCTCCTCCTCCTCATGCCCTTGTTCTTCACTGTAAATGTCCCTTCTGGGAGGAAGAACGCGTGCAAACCTATGGGAACTCTTCAGCAGAAGATAAAGGAACTGTTAATTTTGGTGTCTGTAAGTAAACATCGTTATGTGACACAGGACAGAAGTCTGTGAATTTGGACTCCTCCACACTGGCCAGATTGTTTCTACTTTTGATTTTACCAGCATATGAGACAACAGACAAAAATCAGACTTCACACCACAGCCCAAAAGGGGAAAAGAGAAATTTAGGAGATTACCTTGATGTCAACTTCAGCTTCATCTTTCATAGACTTCTCATTAGCACCATCAATGTCCCCAAAGATTAAGGTCCCATTCCGACCAATTTTCACCTGTTTCTTGTACGTGTAGTAGAATTCCACACACTGAGCCACTGTTTTGGTTTTTATCTGGTGTTTAAAAAATCACAGAAGTCCAATGGATTACATGACTTTAAGAAGGCTTACAAACAATGACTAAAGGTGCAATAAATACACTTAATGTTTTTCTTTGCCCAGCAGTCTCCATTCCACCGCAACTGCTGAGAAACCTCCTTGTCTGTGTCATATTTGCCTGTATCCCCCATCCCACAGCCCATTCCCTACTGCCACCTTTAGTTACTAAGAAATACATTTTCCAAAGAAAAGCTGGTCAATGTAAAGGTGACAGAACCTGGGACTCTGTAAGCTTCATGCACATCTTAGCCTCCAAAACATCCCAACTGCGCTGCCAGGCTTGAATGCAGCCTTTCAGTTTTATGGGAGAGCTTTCTTTTCCAGCAGCACTTCAGGGAAGACCAGACCAGAATACCGGTCCAAAAATGGAAAAGGAGGTTTGCAGCGCTTTCCCGTTTTGGCCATGTGCATTTCATACACATGTGGGGGTAGACAATTACCAGTACAGACCTGTGGCCATCTACATATTCTCTATCAGTGATTTCTATCTGGAAGTTTTGGAATATATTCTTAGCTCCTGGGCTTTTGCAACTTAAGTGCCTTTTAGGAATTTATTCAAAAAATACGTATGCAGCTCCTGGTTTTGCACTCTTCTTCAGTGATTTCCCCCCTGCTGAAGCGTCGTACCTCATGGAAATAGATGGGAACGATCATTTTTACTATCATTGTCACAGAAAACTGGAAAGAGAGATCCTAACGGATGCACCATTCATATCTCCTTCTTTGGTCCTTCAAGTTGGAAAGAGAGATCCTAACGGATGCACCATTCGCATCTCCTTCTTTGGTCCTTCTCATCAGTAGCAAGGAAGTATTTCTATTTACTCTTACAAGCCATTTAAGCTGTACTGGAACATTACCAGCTCTATAAATACGCCCTGCAGAAGCGGTATCTGCAGTGGGGACTGATGGAAGTAACGCAGTGAGTACAAGGGCTAAGTAAACAACAACAGCAAAACAAACACTGTTGTTCTATCCAGTGAGATTTGATGCTGTGCTGGGTCATAAAATTTCTCTGAAATCTTCTGAGTACAGAAATTAATGCTTGATATTGAGGTTTCAGAGAAATCAAGGTTGAACGTTCTGAGTACAGAAATTAATGCTTGATATTGAAGTTCCAGAGAAATCAAGGTTGAACTCCCTGTATTAAATGCTCAACAAATGTCTAAGAATGTATCATTGCTGTCATTTAAAAAAAAAGTCACTTACAAGCCTTTGGACCAAGAAGAAGTCTTTCTTGTAGATTGCAATGCCTTTGTTGAAAAGTTTTTTTTCAGCAACTTTCCACTTGTCCGATCCTGCAGATAAAACAAGTTGTAACTGAAACCTTTGCAATTTCCAGTGTTTACTCCTCTACGCACTTTTTCTTCACATTCTCCTTAAATAAGACCAATACCGACGTGCATGGGTGCAGTCACGTCACACCTAATTCAGCATAACTGCACGCTGCTGTTAAACCCTCCTCCACCACCCCACTTCAACCCTCCTCTCATCCCTCTGTGTTAGATCTAGCACTCATCACCACAGCTTAACTCAGCTCAGCTTGCAAAAACCAGCCCATTACAAGAACTAACATGTTTTTCAACAAGACAGCAAGGTGAACACACACACTTTGTGGTGGCCCAGTTGTTAGATTTTATACGAGGGAAACAGTGGGGCAGGAGAAGAGGATCTTGTCTTCCAGCAGCAATCCACTGCACCTGAAGATTTATTGCATCTCAAACACTGCTGCTATCTTAGCATCCTTGCCTCTGATAGTAAACACATTTTGGAATCTCCTCCTGCCTTACAGATATTAACCTAGTAATATTTCCCAAGCATGATAGCAGGAGTGTAGGATAATGAAGAAATGCAACTTCTCTGCTTGGTGGCACCACTCTGCCACTTCAGATCAGGTCTTTCAGGCAGCCAGGGTCACTCCAGAACACTGAAGTTGTGTCCTACTGCTATTTGCTAATTAGGTGCGAGACTACAAAGGCAGTTTACAGCGTTTAGTTTTTGCAGAACCATTGACAAGCTACAGCAGTTGGCTGAGCTTTCTTCGGCAAGCTTGAAAACTCCTATAAACCGCCCTAACTCCGCCCTGGAAATTCATGGTTGGGAGGCTGAGGTTACCACAGCCTCTCTCATAAGTACCAGCTTCATTTCTGCATTCTCTGTGCTTAGTGTAAGGGATCGTATTCCCTTTTCCCCAAGGAAATCAGCACACACACACACACAACTAACACGTGTGCACATGTTCTGAGAGATGCAGTTGTTTCTTACATGAGAAGTGTCACAATTTGCACAGGAAAGATTCCTGGCAAGCCATCATTTGATTTACCAGAGAGAAAAGTGGTCTTTACATTTAATTGTAATGCTGTAGAGTTCTCCAAAAGAGCAGAAAAGGATAGGAGAATTCTTTAGTGACAGACAGGCAGCACAGAGTTATTCTGGTTAACAAACCTGTGTAGTGATAATCTGCCAAAGGGTGGGTAGGCGATCGTACTGGCCTCTTCAGTAGCAGCTTGGTCAAAGCTTCCTAAGACAAACACAAATAAAATAATAACGTTTGGGGTATTTAAAACAAAGATAACTGTTAATCCTCTTCTGGCAAATTAACTGACAAGAACCATAGCGGTTTAACATCTGGGACAACTTTAAAATCACAATCTTGACTATCCACTGAGTCTTGGGTACCACAGGCAGGTAGTGAGCCCTCAGCACCTCTTCGTGTCTGTGCGAATTGACAAGTTCCAACAACCACCACAGTACTGGGAGAGAGCCAATTCCATAGGCAGAGACCATGCAGCAGCTTATTCTCATTTACTGAACTCCTGAGTTACACACTCACATCCAAAACACTGCTCTAAATGATGTCTGCCTCAAACATCCCAGTTGTTGTGATTGTCTCTCAAGCAGTATTTCAAAATAAAACAGAGCAATCGTGACTGGAAGGTTCCACACACACACAAAGCCCTCTTAAGCTGCTTTTTACTTTTTATTTAAACTGGAAGTGCTTTCAAAGTTAGGAGGAAGGAGAGAGTGGAGTCGTGCATTCCTCAGCAGTTTAAACCACCTCAACAGTGAGCTCCTGCTGCCAGGGGCAGCTCTGCTCCTCCCTGATGCCAGCAACAGCATCCACAACGGCGAGCTGGCTCTGGGAGTTTATCTAGCAGAAACCTAGATAAATACTAAAACACTTTTAGTTTGTTCTCTTCTCCAATGCAGGTCAATATAGCCTCACAAGTGTCAGTTTGCTTCCAATGTGGTCACCTTCCCAAGGAAGACAACATTTAAGGTGCATTTAGTAGTCTCGACTCACTCGCTCTGGTAGACTGTCAGTCTGTCTGTTAGAGCTAAACTTGTAAATACACAAGATAGTGAGTGAACACGGTGCTGTACATCAGGCAGAACCCACTTTAGGGACAGCAGCTTCTTTGAGGGACACTAAACAGCGGGAGCCAGACGCAGAGGAAGGAGTTTGCAAGGCCCTCCTCCCAGGAGCAACAGGTTACCCAGCCTTCATTAACATCTCTGACCACATCAAGAGGCAGGTTGGGAAGACTCACCAGTACGCTTCCCTTCGCTTCGTGCAAGAAATGCAACGCCAGCTCCTGGTTGGTTCCACCTCCAGGAAAAATGCTTGAACAGGCAGCAGCTAGCAGGTTTTCCACTATTTCCAGAGAGGTACCAAACAAATTCAGATAAGAAGATTAATACGGAGTTCCCTATAGGATTCACATCATTAATTATCTCTTTTGAAGCAGAGCTAGAGATAACGGAAAGGAAAACTCTCAGAGAAGTTGAATGTCCTTGCAAATTTAAACACACGAACTCATTAGACTGCAACGTCACACAACATTACTCTGCATGCAGGACTATTTAGACACGGAGATTCTTCTCTTCTCCCTCCTATAACATCTTCTGATCTCCCTTCACCTCAGAGATTTCCCAAATTCCCCTCTTTACTAGACTGAATTTCCATTTCACAATACCCTTTTTTCTCTCTCATCAGAAAGATTTCTTCCAAGCCTCGTCATTCCTCTTCCCTTCAGGATTTATACACACCACAGCTCATCGCTCCCCAGGTCTGCTACCAGCTGCCACAGCTCCTGCTTCCTCACCCTGACTTCTGTCTACAACTTGATTTTTCCAAAATACTATTATGCCTAGAACATCCCCTGAAAATACAGAAGTTGAATACATGTGGCATTCAAATGTTAACAAAGAGAAGGAAGCTTCACTAAGCAAAAGGCTGCTCTTTGCCTGAGCAGTAACAAATGGCCCATTTAATCTCAATTTAAAAAACAAAACATCCTATCAACCTCCTCTCTGCCAAGCACAACCCAATAAACAAGTTTTATTCCTAGGACTCTTTTCAAGGCCACTCAAACATGTCAGTTGACTGGCAGCTCTAAGAGAGCTTAAATTACGCCTACAGCAGATATGTGGTTACCCCTACTCCAACTGTGATAATTCAGTCCCATTTACCAGCCTCCCACACTCTTACCGTTCTCTTGGGTGACTTTGTTGGTTTCCAGGTCGCCCCACGGCTGCCAAACCAGCTCTGCTTTATGTTCATCAGCTGCTGCCAGAGATTTGTCCTGGAGTGATGGGATTTCTGCCTGAAAACGAGTTCCTACGTTTATTCGCCTGCAGAAAAGGTAACAAGGAACGGTCAGGTCCCCTTTACAATATCCAGAAAGTCTCCATCTCTGCTAGAAGCACTAATTATGAGGAAACTGAAATGCAGCAGGCTCCTGCATACGTGAGCAGCTTTCAGGTGTTGTAGGTTACACTAATTCATTACTCGAATGGTGAGAGGTTTTACGTCCATACCAGTTTCCATTATCTAATCAACAGTGGTTGGAACTGGATTTACATTAGGCTCTCCTAAAAACTCCTCAGAGAACAGCTATTAGCTTTCAATAATCCCTTTTTGGGAGGCTGTCACTGGACTTCTCTCACAGCAAGCTTGCTCCTCATGCGTAAGATAGGTGAGCCTTTTTTAGTGCTAAAGCTTTGCTGGCCATAACTACAGACTCATAGCATCATTTAGCCTCCAAGTCCTTTTCAACCTATCTGGTCCAACTCCCCATTCGAAGTAGGATCAACCTCAAAGCTTGGTCTGTTACGACACATGCTATCATCTTCTAGAAAGTATTTCTAATAACTGAAACAAAAAACATAAGCCAATGAAAACTGTACTGCTCATTCTGCAAGACGGCTCTACCAGACTTGCAGGCCTGGACGTCTACACCGATGGCACAGCAAGCAGTGAGCGCACCCGTGTCCTGTGCTGTTGCTCTACGTCTCTTACTCAGTGGCAAAATATGCAGCAGTAGCTGCACAAACTCTGAGTAAAATACACTGGATAAATCCAAAGACAACTTTCCAAGTGATACAGCAACTATGTATGCAATTCAGAGGTCCGGAAGAGAGAGCAAATGAAATGTCCAAACTAAGTTAGCAAAAAGACCCTTCAGAAAACAGAAATATCTGAGAACAGCTGCTATGCTCAATGCAGAAACGTTCTCCTTTCAGATGTCAGTCAACTAGCACCATACTGGTAGCTCCTGAAATGGGAAAGGATGGAGAAATAAGATCTCTTTTTCTTTTTCTTTTCTTTTTTCTTTTTTTTTTCCCTTTTTTTTTTTTTTGAGAGAGTGTAGATCAGGCAGTGCCCACAAGATTTATTAAGCTCTGGAGTTGATTTAATCAGAAAAAAAAATCTGTAACTCCCTGCCCAGGGCAAGGTTTGCTATAATTCCCAAGTCTGGGCTTGGTTGCCCCCAAGTATGAGGGGAAACACAAATACCAGGAAAAAAAAGCATGATCCAGTATAATAAGGAATACAAACAGAAACACCTGATAAATGCCAGCCACCAGATTTTTCTGGTCCTTCCTGTTCTGAAATGACACACTCATGTCTATTAGGAAAGCAAGAGCGTGGAAAAGGTGCGAGGAGACCTCGAAACAACACAGATATCCTACACAAAAACCCAGAGAGATACTAGCAAATGTTCCAGCAGGATGCTTTGAAGTCCTAGAAGACTCTGGTATCAAAGGAAGTAAGAAGGTATCGTTTCCTGTTATGGAAAAGAAAGGAGGAAACACCTCAATTCCCCTTTTCCTGCCTAACACATCACTTTGTTGTTGCCAGTAAGCAACTGCATCATGGGATGTCATGAGCTGGAAAAGCCCGCATTCAAAACAAATGTTTGACTTCAGCACACATAAAAAGCTATTTCACAAACAACTTCTTCTGCATCTACAGCAGATCCAGATCTACTTCCTCACACTTGAGGGGAACAGTTTCACAATTCACGTGCGTAGCTTTCTCAGGATCTGCTTCTCAAAGGTAATTCAATTGCAAATGTACACTAAATGTGGAACCTGAATGGAGAATGAAGAACTCCAAGAAAACCTCAAAGTTCGGGTTTGAGTGTTTTACAGGTACAAAAGTCTATTAAAACCTCTAACACTACGCAGTTTTCAATTCTTCCTTCACCTGCCTTGATTACCTTGGACAGATACAGCACAATCCAGACCAAAAATAAAAAGCAAGAGGTTTCATGCAAGATTGAGAAGACGACCTTGCTGCAAAACAAACACCCCTTTAAGTCCTCCTCTCAGCACATTGTGATGGACTGGAAAACCACGTTGATGTGGAGTCTTCTGCTCTCTGTGATCTGTCTCGCTTATTGTTACAGGATGCAGTTTCACAGTGGAGGAAAGAGTAATGGATTCTGATCCCCCCTAGAAGGGATGACTGACAGAAACTGGCAACAGACAGAGGCTGTTACTGCATTGGGAAATTTTGTGTCCCAAGACACAGACTCCTTTGGCCTCACCTGAGCGAGAAAGGAAATTGGAAAAGCTGGAGGGAAAGAATGTGGGCTTGGAGGGAAAGAATGTGGGCTTGAAAGGCTATCAGAACTTATCATCTTGGAACTAAACTTAGAATGTGGCATCTCTAAGCTAGAAAAGCCTAAGAATTAGACCTTGTACTTGCAATGTCTAAATAAAACCAGATTTCCACTGCAAGAGTTGACCCGAGTAACCTGACCTATTTCGGCCTGCTCTCAGCCTTTACTCCAAACAAGGCTTGGACCAGATGACCTCCAGAGATCCATTCAAGCTACATTACTCCTCGATTCCCTTACTGATGAAGCCTCGATTTCAGCACAGCAAAAGCTCTTGCCTGCAAGCACCAACGGTGTTCCTGGTACACCCCGGTGTACAGCTGAGTGCAGTAACACCCAGAATTGAGTCTATGAATTAGGAAGGCAATCCACAGCTGATGCACCATGGCTAAACTCGAGGCTGGCCAGCTGAGGGATGACTTCAAGACTTTGAAGCAACTGAACTGCAAAGTCGGTAGGACACAACGATGTGTGACACCAGCTGCCTATTTTGCTACCTCACGAACAGAGGAATTAAGCTTCATTATCACATTTCCTAGTCCAAATCTCTGCAATGAAATGACCTTTTGAGATGCATTAGCAGAAGGTCTGGCAAAGCACAAACAATGAAGAACACAGTATCGGGTAATCACAAGTTATAGTCACCTTCTGACAGTCAAGACCACAAATCAAATCAAACATGTGGGTCTTTTCCCCTTAAAAAAAGTGCTTCCTGACTTACTTCCTATATAGTCTATGTAACAGAGAGGTCAAAGACCAAGACATGGAGGGGAGCGAAGAACATCTGCTCAAGAAGAGGCTCCCCTTAGCAGGTTTGCAATGAACCAACAACAGAAAGACAAATTAAGCCATTTTCAAAACAGATTTAAAAAACACCAGAAGTGCTTATGTCCAGGAACGGGCTCAGCCTGGAAGGGATTTGCAAAGGTGACAAGAATAATCTGGGTTCACTCAAAACTGCGACATTTGCTCAGGTCAGCCTGCTGCCAAAAGTGTAGAAAAAAGGGTGAGAAAAAAAATTGACAGGAAATGTTCCAGTTCATTTTAAGAATATAAGCCATTATGGAAGAAAAAGTGAAAGCAGGCTGGTATTTACTTGGGAAGAGTGCGTTAAACACCTCAAGTGTTACAGGATATGCTGCAGCGTTAGAGCAGAGATTCCTCACTGCACAGTCAGCAGCGCAGAGCCACGGGGGTGTTTTTATGCCGTGTGGGCGTTTCCATGCCATGCATCTCCAAGTTTAGATTTTGCAAGAGTTCTTTAACCTGGGTAAAACAAGGAATTGGAACTACCTCGCTGTAGATCTGCAGCACTGAACTCGAGCTGGTTACACCCCGAGAGGGTGAGAGAGCACTGAGAGACATTTGCTGCTCTGCTCAGGTTTAGCAGGACTGGCACCAAGCCTAAGTGCGTAACTTCAGCATCTGCCACAGCTGCTCCCACCCATGCCTGAGCTACCCCAGCACACAGCCAGCTAAAAAGACTGATGGGGTTGACTAGTTCAGGCCACACGCACTGCATGGAGCTGGCTGTGGGGCTGTCAGCCTGAGCTAGCCCCAGGAGGGAGCAAGGTGGTGTTCACAGCGGCGCTGCGGCTCATGCACACCGCACACACAACCTGCAATCTGACCAGTCCATGGAAGAGCTGACGACATTTTCCCACACTAAGTTTCGACCTTCCTCTAAAGGAGCATTATTTCCCCCACTCTAAAACAAACACAGCATGCAAAGAGGTGTCTGTATACAGCAAAACAAGACAGATTCACCTTTAACCAATAGTATTTCAGCCCAGAGACAGGTGAGCAGTAACAGAAAGCAGTTAACATCACTAGAATTAAGGTGTGTTTGCCCAAACAAACATTATTTATCGTATAGAGTAATTTTTAATAAAGACAATTTGTATTTTGAGTCACTAACAGAAATAGCTTTAATGTTTCTAAGAGATATCAACTGTACAGGGTGCAGCCTGAAGGTTTAGGAGGAAGCAAAGCAGCACATTTAATACCAGGCTGAGAGTCAACTGCGTACTTACGGTTCAATGCTGACCGGAGTGGCTTCCCCCACTACTGTAAGAACAGGAGGGGTAACTTCTGAACTATCTGCAAAGAAGAGAAAGAACTGCTCAGACAGCTCATCTTCGCATTTGAGATACATTCTACACACAGCTTGAATATCTATCAGAGCTATCCATCTCTCAGAAAAATTACCCATAGGCTAAAGTAGTTTAAGATGACCAAGACCTGACCTTCCAGTCACCACCTGCATCTTAGTCATGACGGTTTACTGTGCCCTCAGTTCAAGTATTAAAGGAACTGACTTTTCCATCCCTAAGAACGTCAGCAGGGGGTGTTGCAGATTACTTGTGAATGCACCTTAACATGCATGTCCAGATGGAAGCAACACTGCATTTCCTCCGCCCTATCTCCCCAGACCATCCCGAAGAAGTCACCGTTCCACATAACCACACCTCCCACAGTCATCACCTTCATCCTCTTACTTCACAGCTCCTAACCATAAATTAGCCAAGAAAGGAAGGATAAAACTGAACTTACTTGATCTAAGCAGAGTTCTGTGAGCGCTTTTAGGAGTCATTGGAGGTGGAACCGAATGACCACTCGAAGAGAGGATAGCATTAAAATACAGCCCAGATCCTTCTCTCACCGGACTAAGAATTGGTGGAGGAGTGTAAGGAGGTAGCTCAAAGTTCCTATCTGAAGGATGATCTGCCAGACGGACGGGCGACCGCAAGTGGCTCTGATATGGAGTAATGTTAGAGTAAACAGGTGGTGCAATAAAAGTGCCAGCTTTTGGTGGTATGAAGAGTGGCTCGGGTCTTGGCCGCTGCTTTGGTTTCCGGGCAAAGCCCTCAGCTTCATCCTTTGGAACAGCATCTTCGTGCTATTAGAAAAAACTTACATACTTAATCTGAAAAACTTCAGTGAGATGTCAACATTCTTTCATGGCAACTCAAAATCCGGATAGGGCAGCTGGAGACTGTCTCAAGAATTAGCACAAAGGCAAAGAGGGAAGGAGATGGGGAACGGAATGGACACAGAACTGTGAGGCAGCAACACTAGCTCTGAGTGCTCATGAAGTTATACTTTACAAGAACTACACATATGTCTGGTCCAACCTTTGGTTGGCAGCTTTAAAAGAGGACATCAGAAGTACAGCAGAACCCTGATACAGACACAGGGTGACACCAAATTGTGATAAGAGAACAGAAGACAGTGTAACAATATTGTCTGAGAAGATCAAGCATTTAAATGTAGAGAAACCTCCCTAGACGCCTGCCATTTCTCTGGTATCATGAACATTCTCCTGTACTTCTGAATAGAGGAGATTAAAGAAAAAACCCACCACCAAAACAAAAAAAACCCACATATCACCATGCTGAAGGGGAACACTCAAGTACCGACCCTCAGATCCTCAGTAAGGTATTTCCATTCCATGAGGATAAACGTTCACTTTGGATTTTATCCATACACAGACATACGTGCACTACTCACGATTTATTATTATCTATGTATGTATGGAGAAAGCACTTTTTACTCAGACTATTTATTCTGGTGTTACTGACCATCCGGGTGTACTCGCTGTTTTGCAGTGGGGCACTGCTGGGCTGCACTGGCATTAGCTGCATGTCATGAGAAGCCAGTGATGCCCAAATATAACGCAATATGACGATGAAAAAAAATACAGCTCCCAGAACACATCCATTCAAAGTTCAAGCCATGAGACCAAGCTACTTCAACAGAACAGCTTATGGATAAAAGCTAGGTAATTAAATCTGCCACATTTAGCTGCTCTTTGGTTTCTTGGTGTATCCATACCTGATTTGAGGTTTCCATGTTAGTATTACGATTGGACCGCCTCCGAGTGACTATCACAGAAGGCTTGCGTTCACAAGGAGTTCGATCATTTGTTTGGCCTCTCTGAAGCTTTCCATCCTCAGACTTTTCCTTTCCAAGGCTCTGCAGGTCAATTTTTCTCACTGGCACAGACACAGGAATGATAAGAGGCACGAGGCTGTTATCCTCCCGGGCTCTTTTCGGAGCTGGTGAAGAACCGGCGAATTCCACAACGCTTTTTGCAGCTGGAGGTTCTGCGGCTGCTACCAGCACACTCTTCTTCTCTTCTGAAGCATCCAGCTCCTGAGAAGAAAAATAAAGTCCTTAAAAGTTCCGTACTTACATAATAAATCAGGTTATATCTAATTTTCAGCGCGTATCAAGTTTCTCATTGCAATTTGCAAGCTCAAATTGATTTGGAAAAGTGTCACTGGAGGAAAAAGACTACTTCACAAAAGCCTTACCAACATTTCTTAGAATGACATGAGCACTGCCTGAAGTCTCAACCTGCCAGAATATTTGTAAACATCACTCTTAGGTATCATTTCACTACCTACGGTTTGACATTTTCCAGATTAATTTGTGCCCTGCTATGTAACCTCCAACAAGTTCTTCAGTTTTAGTAGTGATCGTAAACTGCACGTTATTAAACCCAAATATTGAACTTCCATTCCAGGAGAGACCGAACCATGATAATCTTAATTAAATCTCTCACACAAAAACCCAAAAAGCTAGCTCTGTTGTGTTTTTACTGATTCACGTGACAGGCAACTTTCCTGACTTTAATGGGAGCCCTTAAGGTTTGTTGTCTAACCAGGCTTGAGCCTGAAGAACTTCTACTCAGCAGAATAACGTGGCATAACTGCAAGCCAGCACTGTTTGCATTACAGCTTCAATGTCTCTGCTTTCTTTACTCATGGAAACCCTAGGAAAACTGAGCTCCAAGGAGATGGGTATGGAGGATGAGTTACTGAATGAACACATGGATACCGTTAACACCAGAGAAGCGAATTCTAGTCCTTCAAATTACTATCCACAAGTTCATAGTTTAGATACAAGGAAGAAGTTATTTACTACGAGGGTGGTGAGGCACTGGCACAGGTTGCCCAGAGAAGCTGTGGATGCCCCCTCCCTGGAGGTGTTCAAGGCCAGGTTGGACAGGGCTTTGGGCAACCTGGGCTGGTGGGAGGCGTCCCTGCCATGGCAGGGGTTGGACTGGATGAGCTTTAAGGTCTCTTCCAACCCAAACCCTTCTATGATTCCACTCTCAATTCAAAAGCAGTTGCCAGCTCATTTAGAAGCCAGATGTTAAAGCACAACTTTAAAAAAGACCTCTGTTCAGGGATGTAAAAGGCCTTCTTGAGCTCTGATGAAGTGCAGTCTAGAAGCTGTAGAAGATGCTCCTTTTGGTGTTTCAGAACTTCTAACTTAAGAGCTCTGTTTGCAAAGCATTTGGATAGGATGAGGTATGCAAACCCATCCTCCATCAGAGCCACATTCTACTGTGGAATCTACCTCAACTACTGTGTTTTGTAGGTGGAAACTAAGGTACCTTATTTCTCAGGTATGACAAAAGGTCTTCAACCTGGACTTCCAAAACTTTGCAGAGATTTACTGAAGTCCTCAAAAATAATTTATTGTGTGTCATTAAGAATATCTAATCTTGATTAAAAAGCCAGCATCAGCAGGTTCTGTCATAAGGACTCGGACAACCCCCCAGTCATTTCACTGCAGTCACAGAACAAGAAAGCTGGCTTCACTGATGAGTGAGAGAGGATGCTCCAGCTGGTCCACGAAGTGTTAACTCAGGAGAGCTAGAAGGACACTAAAGTCCCACTTGGATACCCTATTTATATTGGGGGAAGTGCAACTGTATTGTCACAAGATGCATCAGTCAGAGCCTGGAGTTGGTGCTCTGCCGTCTCTCCAAAGGAGCCCTGGTAACTTGTGTTGCAAACAGGTCCACTCTGAAACACTAAGCCTTCCAAAAAGGCTAGGTGTCAAGCTTGAGCAAATAAAATCAATCATATCAAGAAGATTTAGAACTGTCTCCTTCCAAGACCTTTTATTACAGTAAGGGTAAGTGTGCACAGAAAGGTTTATACCATAAGTGGCAGTGCAGTTTAGGAGAGTGCAGACATCTGCCCCCGCTACACAATGAATGAAGAAACACACAACTGAAGAGTCACAACTGGCATCAGCCGCCCCAGATGGTGCTGCAGGGGGAATTCATGAGCTGTGAGGACTTCCCTTCACTCCAGGCTGGTGATCTGCACCTGTGCTTTCCCAGGAGACCACCAATTTCAGATCTGGAGGGCATTCATCATGCTAGCAGATGTGTCACTAGGGACCACTGCCTCTGGATAGTGAGGGGCTTCTCTAAATGTCTGTGGCCTCACTCCACTACTTCAGGAAGGAGAGACAAACAAGGATGCCTTTTTAAACATACAAACAGGTCACCTACTGAAAAGAGATGCCTACTTCCACTAGTCCTGCCCATACCTGAAGCAGCAGCTCACTGCTGTATGTGGGACTCCTTCCATCAGGGAAATTTATGCTGTTATCACCTTACTAGTGAAGTACAAGCACTCTAGCATACTTTCTGGGTATCTGAGAGAAAAACAGCAACCAACCAAGTAATGGCAATATTTCTATGTGAGCGAACACCAATTCTGACCAATCTACAAACCTCAGGCGCTTCCTGTGCGCTACACAGGTCTCTGTAGGTCAAGAGACATGCACTAATTTCCTGACTACAAGGAGGAAATTGTGGCACCTAGTCACACAAAAGATGTCACATCTCTTTGGCTGGCTGATCACTTAACCATGCTCCTTTTCTTTTCAAGACTGGGAGGTAACCAGCAAAGGACTCTCTGCCTTGATGATGGGAGAGATGGCCCCTTTGAGAAAAAAGAGGAAGGAGGAGACCTGGACATTAGTAGAGATAGACAGAAGGCACCACTGGGAACTGAATATAAATAGCTGAGGCGTCCTTAAAGATGCTCTGGTCCACATCAGAGCTTTTCTGGTCATGAAAGATCACACATCTCTAATGTTTACTAAGAGGGGACACAACTTATTTTGGAATTAAGCTATTTGTGTCAGACCTTTTGTCCTGGTTTACTGGGACAGAATTTGAAAGTCAGTTTTCTGTTGAAGAAAACTGCAATTTTGCAAGGACTACAACATTTAATAGTTGTATAAAGTTGATAAAAACTTCGTTATAGGTTTCAGCTAATACTGGCTGCAGGTTGCCACAGTGCTCAGGGTCTTCAAGGTCTTGAGATAAATAGTTGAGGATGCTGGGGGAATGAAAACCTAGGGGAGTCAACCCCAAGGGGACTCCAGTCTGACCACTTAATGCTATTCATACCATCAATGTCACAATCACTAAAAATCAGGGAGTTTGCTAGGGACAGTCCTTCCTTCTCTGTCTCTTCCCCTCCCTCCTGCCCCCTCTTCCGTGGCTGACATCTCAAGAGGGACTTGTTTACCATCCTAACCCTGAGACCTACACCCCCACAGTATTGGCTGAGTGTAACCCTCTGTATTTTATAGTATAACTGTTCTTAATATTAGTATATTATCATTTTATTAAATATATTAATATTTCAACTCACAAATCTCCTTCCTTTTTCCTTGGGTGGGGAGAAGGCATCGGATGATAGACCAACTGCATAAACCCTGACACCCTTAAATAGTTTCTCAACTGTATGCTTATGCTCAGAGGTAAGCAGAAAGGTGGCAATGAACAAGGGACAGGACCTTTGCTTGCTATGGGATTTTCAGCTAGCTCAGTATCTCTGTTGCAGAATTTGGGGCAGGAGGGCTGGTGGATAACTCCAGAAAGCACAACCATGTTGCACTTCCATTTAGACTCCTGCACAAATGTCGAAGGATGAACTAGTGATCTAGAGTCCTCCAGGACACCCACAGAAACCCATCGGCCATTCTGGCATTGATCCTGTCTGTCCCTCAAGCACTTTCTAAAAAATGCAGAATTCACAGACAAAACCCAACTGTGACAGCTGGAAGAACCACTGCAAGGCCACTGCTGTGATCAGACAAGAAACCACACCAGCCTGTGCAGCGCTTTCTGCCATCATTCTGCACCACCTTGCTAACAGCAAAGGCAGCTTCTTCTCCGCAGTCAAACTGAAGCTTGTGCATGAAGGAGGTGAGCCCAGAATTGCAATTCCACAAACAAATTTTTGTTAAAATTTTATTTTGCCCGTGGCAGCTGGTGCCCTGCCCTGTGCCAGGGAAAAAAGGCCAGGTAACTAAACCTCTGTCTCCCTTCCATAAAGGGGTATGAAAATCCAGATTTCCTTCAGACGACCATTTCAGATCTGAGAAAAGTTTTCTGCGCGGTTAAACAAAATAAATTACACTTCATTTTTGCATATAACATTTATATGCAAAATGAAAACATAAACCTAAGAGTTATAACAGTAAGCAGCAATAAGCTTGCATCACCTGAAAAAGGCAGGCACAGTGTGAAGGACAGCTCTGGTGCTAAGTATCAGTTGTGACACCACCTGTAGACACATACTCTGTCCAAAATGTGTTTGCATAACACATAGTGTTCAAACAACTGGTAAAATTATGAACGTATCTTCTTTCATCAATAATTCAATCCCATGGTGTGCTTGCACGCTCTTCACATAACCTCTGCTAGAGGAGGCTTTCAGGTTGTTTATAACAGGATGAGACTCATAAGAGGAGCCCACTCTCTTCCTGTACATGTTTTGTTTTTCTCCCTCACATGATATCCAACGCCCCTAAGGATGTGAAATCTATCAGACCTCAGGCAAGAACTTTTAACATCTTTTAAAACCTCTTCCTGAAAGCCTGAAGAGATCTAAACATCAAGAGCTCTTCTGCCAGCGCCATCATCCAAGCAAACAGGCTGCTTGTATAGCCACAAAGAACAAAAGAGCATCTGTCAAAACATTTCTCTGTTTGGTCCTTACATTACAAACCAAGCTGCAAGCAGACATATGCCTTAAAACAGCCAATTTCTTGCTTCGCCTCTCAGGGCTTTTTCCTTGATGCTTTGTTAGCTTTTTCTTGCCGCTGCATTGGTGATCAGACTGCAAGGTGAACTGAAGGCCTTCCTGCAGCACAGACATAAAACGGCCAGGAGAGTGTGAGCAAACAGCTCTCGCTGCTGACCACTGCTAGTTTTCTATCAAATCTGCTTGTTCAACTGGAGTTGGAGCAAAAAGGATTGAAGACAGCATCAGCAGTCACTGGCTGCTGAAAAAGATGGAGTAGACTATGGATACTTGCCTCGTGTATTCGTTCAGTTCTTTCACTCAAACAGGACATGCCTCTAAGGAAGAAATTGGAAAAATGGCCACAGACAGAATAGGAAGAGAATTATGATGAGAACTAGAGAGGGAATAAAATTCCTTTCCCTTTGTTGTCTGGCTGAGCTGCAACTCCAGTGGCAAAACTGTAGGTAAAAGTAGCTCATGCTCTATCACCTGCATTTCATCAGACTCTGTCAACAAAACAAAGCTTCCAAAGAAAAGTATCTTCTCATGAGAGGTGCTCAATGAAAGATTAGTCAAATCATAACTGAAAGAAAACTCTCCCAATAATCCCCACCCAACTCCAAAATCCCACCACTTGCCTCCTCTAGGCTAGTCTACCCAGCCTACCTTACCCAGGCTAATTACCTAGCCAGCCAACAGTCTGCCCCACCAAGCCCTACAGAAGGTCTGCAGGCAGGCTTTGTCCTCACATTACCAATCCCTAAACATCCACTGCAGGCCATGCTCAGAAACAGGATACCACATCAGACAGACCTCCGTTATGCCTCGTGTGAGGCTTCCTCAGGCTTTTACTGTTTGGGAAATACTGAACTTGTACACTGCACCATGTAATTTTTAGATAGCACAGTTTAGAAACACTTCAACCGCTAAAACCAAAAAACTGGCAGGCGTGCAGCAGAAGAGAATGATAAATTGGTAAAAAGACACCAGGTGAACTGCTTATACTTGTCTCTCCAAATTCCTGACCAGCTTGAGACCTCAGCTGAAAATGGCCTTATTTTGAAGCCCTGGGCTAAAATCACATTCAGTATTAGCAAAATAAAACAGCCCTTTGTGGTTTCACTGCACTAGGAGATCTCTATTCTCATGCATCTAAGAATTACAGTAGCTGAACTTATGTGCCACCACTCCAGAGCTGCCCTTGCTGTACTACACCACTTCTTCAATCAAGATGCCATCCTGTCCTGCATCCGTACATAAACTCCTTTCATCTCAGCGCTGTGCAGCAGTCTAAAACATGCCACATTCGTTAGGCTGTACACCTTACCTTTACATTCTGAAGAGAAGCCAGCTCAACAGCTTTTTGGGCCAAAGTCAGCAAATTGGCTTCTTGAGAAACACGCCGTCTCCGTCGCGTACTCTGGATTACACCACCTCTGACACCCTGAAAATCATTAGTTCTCTGAGTGTTTTCTTCAGCTTCTGCTGCCTGTTTCTCCCCTTCTCTACCATTCTGGGCCGCAGCTTGCCTCTCTGTTTCCATCTGGCACAGCTCACTGTTGACCTGGACATCCTTCTGCCCCAGATCCAGTCTCTTGGGCTGCAAATAGCCACCTTTGTTGTGGGCCAGTGATTCAGGCAGCTGCTGCAATGGGGCCTCTTGCTGATGAGTTTGCCAGTGATGCAGAAATAAATTGCTAGGTTGTTCTTCTGCCTGCTTGGAAGCCAACACTTCTCCTGCAGATGTCAGCAGGACACCTTCTTTGGAGAGTCTCCGTGACCTTCTCGGAAAGGGAATCTGGGTCTGAGGTAGCACCGTCTGCTGGTTCTGCTCTGTCAGAGCCTTGAACAGTTCCTGGTTCCTCTCGGTCTGCTGAAACTGGTGTGCCATCATGTGATGCTGCGGGGCTGCAGCTGCCACGTGAGGCTGTGCGATGGAAGTAGCTTGCTGCAGGCTGAAGGCTTGCGTGGCAGCCTGTTGCTGCTGCTGCTGCTGAGGATAGAAATTCTCAAACAGCTGTAGCTGGGGAAGAGCTTGCTGTTTTTGTTGAGCTGTAAATGCCGGACTGGAAGAAGCCGGGGCTTCTTGAAAGACATGTAACAATTCAGGAAGACCCTGCTTTTGGCCTTGGTGACCAAATGCGAGTTGGAAAGGCTGCAATGGCAGACTTTGATTCTGCTGCTGTTGTTTCTGCATCTGATGAAAAGAATTAATTTGAGCTTGCTGTCTAACAAGGGCTTGCTGTTCCAGCTGAGCCTTCTGGGACATCATCTGCTGGACAGCATCTCCATACAAGTCCAGCTGTGACACAAACACTCCTTTCTCTTGATTTCTTTTAAGGGCTTCTGGGTGGCCATAGAAGCCCGGGGCACCAGCATTGGAATGGGGTCCTTTTGGGTTGCCCCCAAAAACCATACTGTGGTTCCACATGGAAGGTGGAGTCTGCCAGTGGCTGTCACCCCTCTCTGGCAACCGGTTTCCCATTAGAGAATTCTGCCACTTGACAGCTGTTACCGTCTGGGACATCATCATTGATTCTCCCCTATCCTGACTGTAAACAGAATTCATCAAAGCAACGTTGTTGGGGGCGCTTGTTAATCCTCCTGCGTGAGAAATCTCCACAGTTTGGGAGACAGGTATATTCCCTCCGTGACCATAGTACTGTCCTTCCTTCAGCTGCGGCTGCGGTTCTTTTGATGACACAGCTATTTCCTGCTCGTTAAAATAGGGAATTCGTTTCCCAGTCCTCTTGCTTGAAGACTTTTGCTGAGCCTGAAGATTCATGGTTCAGTCTGTTCTCCCCACCGCACACGCTGTATCTACAATCCACCCATCCCCGAGGCTGGGGGAGGAAAGGCACGGAGCTCTCTCTTTGCCATTCAGCTTTAGTAATAAAGGGCAGGAAAGAAGTCCAGATGAAAGTGCAGCCACTTCCTCTTTCTTTGTGAGCTTCTCCCGCTTCTTTTCCCTCTTATCCTTTGTGGTTCAGAGGTCAGTAGCGTCCGCTTAGTTACAGGTCCTGAAATAGAGAAGCAATTGCAATGAATCATCAACAGATATAAGTAGCATATAAATCCTCACGCGATAAGACATGTGTATGTCTGTCCTGCTTCCCATGGCAATGAAAATCAGGATAATACGTGTAAGAAATAATAGATCTAAGAATGTAAACCAAAACAACTTAGTTTTACAAAACAGATTTCATACTTTATTTGCATGATACGACTCCCAGTTGCACAGAGTTCTGACTAATCACTCAAGCTCACCCTGAAGGTTTTTCTCTTCAACTCCCTCTCATCTGGCCAATTACTTCTGTGTCTTCCTGTAGCCAGAATAATCTGGTTTTAATCTGAACTTAAAAACATGGAAGAAAAAAAAAACCACCCTCGTGACTCGTGAAAAGAAAGATAACTTGTCAGGCCACATTTCCCAAAGGCATTTAAAACACACACATGTACACGAAAGCTGCAGCCAAACATGCAGCCAGATGCCCAGTTCAGTGTTTTGAGGGAAGGATCAGGCAGCAGCCCATCATTCCTCCCACTCCTTACAGTTGCTTTCCGATTAAGAGCTGCCCACCAAGCAGCCAAGCGCTGGAGATGGGGCCTGCTCAACCTGTTGCCCTCTCAGATGCTTCCTTCAAGAGCTGAAAGCAACTGCTCCTGCTCAGGTCATGCTCACGGAGCAGCAGTTCAGGCACGTTGTCACAGCTGCTCCCGGGCACCAGCAGACACCTGTCAGTGTAAAGCATCAGAGGAGAAGGCCTTTCCAAACCACACAGGCCAGGACAATTCCACTCTCTGCTTCCACAGACAAAAAGCTATCCAAAAACTTAGGCTTTAAAAGCCTAGTTTACAGGATTATGGCCTAATGTGTTAACACATGCACTAGTATTTCTGGTAGGGCATCTAAAACCTTTCAAGGAGTTTAGTTTTACATTCAATTAAATTCTTAAACTACTAACACTCAAGTAATTACGTGCAAGACGCTACGACTAACGCTTTTCAGTATGCGCTCTGTTCCACTTCAAATCATACTGACAATGTATTTCAGAAAGATTTTAATAAATTCTTAAAAACCTGTTCTTATTGCATCCCTTCTGCTATGAAATCAAGTTTCTTAAGTGGAACAGGTAAGGCTGACACACACATCCCCTTCACTGAAACCTGCAATCTCTATATAAAATGAAAACAAATAAGAAAACAAAAGCATACAGCACACTGAAGTCCTGTAACCTGAGTTTCCTCTAAACGGACATGGCCACAGTGCAGATTTTAATGCTGGGGTGGAGTTGGGAGCATGATGGGGAGGAAAAGACAAAGAGTTTAAATTAACTTACGCAACTTCCACCTCAGAGGCCAAGCTCGGCCTCAGCGCCGCTGGAGCCACGGCCCCGTGTTTCAGAGCGAAGTGACTCACTTCCTCAGGCTGTTACAGAGCTGCTCCCCCCACGCTCCCTCCCCTTCGCCCTGGCTCCAACCCATGGACCTCTGCCACCCCGTATCACCGAGCCAGGGCGTTCCTCTCTCCTCCAAGCACAACGTCTCCGCTCTTTTTCCAGCTCTCTTTCAACAGGACGAAAATAACTCCAGGAGAAATTATGGACACGTGAGATGGAAAATTCTCTCTAAACTGCAACTGGTACGCAAATGAGGATTTCATAACGTAAGTTTTTCCTATTTCAAAACTTCGCTAGGAGAGGAAAAATCATCCTACAGCACCAAACTTCATCTCTGGTAGCAAAAATATGTAGAGGTGGAAAGGTTGCTATATGCTTCTCAGGAGCATTAATGGTATTTTCTCTCTACTTGCTCTTTGCAGCAGAGTTAACAGCTAAACCACAATACCTGAGGTAATTCTACTAACAGTGGTTTCTGACACTATCTTACTTCTGGAATCATCACAAGCTATTTTTCTCTCCAACCTAGACAACCTTGCAACAGTTTTCCTTCCACTGAAGCCTCTGCATGCTTTTGTATTGAGCAGTCACCTAATTCTGATAAAAAGAATGCAAGTTATTCTGGATATAGAGGTTCCACTTCAATTGGAGAAGAAACTTCTTCTCAGTGAGGGTGACAGAGCACTGGACCAGGCTGCCCAGAGAGGTTGTGGAGTCTCCTTCTCTGCAGACATTCAAAACCCGCCTGGACGCCTTCCTGTGTAACCTCATCTGGGTGTTCCTGCTCCGGCAGGGGGATTGGACTGGGTGAGCTTTGGAGGTCCCTTCCAATCCCTAACGGTCTGGGATTCTGTGATATCAGAAGACGTCACCACCAGATGAAATTATAACCTGCCAACCTTTAAAAGCTCTGCTGTAGATTTTCTACGCTTTGAGGAAGAACACAACGATAACTGCCCAAAAGCTGGCAAACAACTTGAAGGGTCCTTGATTCGAGCCCTTCTAAACCAAATCAAAAAAACCCAAAAAACCCCACCAAAACACGGCTAATGCTGCTCGTGATAGTGGTGCTGAGATTTGCTACTACCACACACACAGGTATCCAAAAGACCTTCAGAAAGAGGGCTCTGGGGTTAGTGACAAAGCACTGCATTTGCACTTCTCCAAACCTCCACGTATGTGGACTTCGGCTCTGGTTTTTTTGCCATTACTAGGCAAGAAGCCACCAGCACTGCAAAGCCTAACTCAGACCAGCTTGGAACTGCACGTATCTAGGAAAGAAATGAAACAAAACTATTAAAATGTAAAGTTTAAAAAAAAATAGATATAAATTAAAGGAGGGACAGGCATATGTACTTGTGTGTTCCATAAAGGGAGTCCTAAAAAATGTTGTATGTCTCCTAGGGAACTTTTCTTGTCACTTGAGAAGACCGTAGTGACTGAAGAACAACTGAAGTTGCAACAGCACAACAATCAGGATGACGTTACCAGGCAGGAAAGGGATTTAAGGTACTTTGAACAAGACACACTTACTGAACATGCAAAAATAAATCCGAAGAGATCACCAGGAGGAAAAGAGGGTTCGGTGCATCCATTGCAAACTCCACTTTTGAGAATTTCTTTCTATATAGAAAAACTGCAGAAAAATATCTTGTAGGTCTTCCTAGTAACGAGAGTCCACAGCTCAAGCTGAAGTGGTAGATGTTCAAGCTGCAGCATGACTATGCTCCACACTTGGCAGCTCCGCTGGCTCTGTGACTAAGCAGGCTTCCCTCCCTGAGGTTGAGGGATGAGCTCACATCATCATCATCATCATCCCAACCAATTCCCAGCTTTGGGGGGTTTTGGGTTGGGTTTTTTTTGGTTTACTTTAATTTCAGCACAAGAGTCAGCCTGCAGCAGCACAGTAAAATGGCCACACACTTCCAGGCTTAAGTGTGCTTTGGAGCAGTACATCCCTGACCATTTCTTTGCATACAGCACAGAGCCAGATCTGACACGGTAATTCCCAGGAGACACTGTGTCCTGGCTCCAAATGTACTGAACTGTTATGATACTTTCTGTTGCTTTCACACTGCACAGAGAAAAGCAGTACCTAGCACCAGTACATTTTGTTTTAATAACTCTGAGACTTGGCGTGCAACTTCATCTCTTATTTTCACTTCCAGGAACTTCTGGTATGCAAGGACAGCTCTTGACTTTTCTTCAGATGAATATGAATTGTACATCACCTCCTTTAAAACTGTAAATACTTTCAGATTTCTAAAGAATTTTTCATGTTGCAAGGCTTCCCCTTCTAGACCTAGAAAGAATGTCAAATTAAACACACATATACCCAATGGGCACTTACACAGTATTTGCTGGAATGAAAGGAGAAAACATAAGCAAAGTACCCTATGGCACCTTACTGAGAGAAGTTCAGGTTAGAATTTTAAGCTAAAACTTCTCCAGCATATCTGTACTAGAGCGTTAAAGACCCTGAGCACCCACTGGTAGATTTAATTCAACCCGAAGTAGGTTCTGCAGAATCATTTAGACATACATCCCTATCCATTACAACCACCTCGTCCCAGTTTGTCAGCCTAGAAAGTCGGCTATAAAAACTTCTTAATGTTGGGTTTTTTAATTAAAGGTAAAAGGTGATTTGATTTGGAGGACAAAGTAAAAACGCTCCTTTGCAACCATTTAATATAAAATATCTTTATCTCCCTTTGAAGCTTTTTGCCTGTGCATTTAATAACCACTCATCATTGTGTCGTTTCTTTAAAACCTCTTCACTAAACAAGCACAAATTTGAGCAGTTTCATACATCAAGTTCGTGACCTTCGTTTGAGGTTTAATATGGCCAAATGCCGGGT